ATATATGAAAGACGATACTAGATATGGAAACCTTAGGGGAAAAAGACCTCGATTAACTCTAAAGTAATTCCGGTAATTACGTTATTTCAATTCAAATGGTTTCCCCTGAAAGATGTTAGACCGGCACGACTCTATTGTTAAAGGAAAAGTATGATGTACAGGGGCAAGCCACTACTAATTTGAGGTGGAGAGCATATATTTTAAATTAAATAAATTAAAAATATGATTAAAAATTGCAGCTCAGCATTGTGATAATGTCACAATAAATGATTGCTCGTTATTATTATTATTATTATTTTTTAATAAAATACAGATATACTTTTCTTTATTTGAAAGAAGCAAACAAACAAAATTTAAATTTAATCATTCTTCTTTAAAATTTTAAACTTCTTAAATGATAATTTATGCATGTTTAAAAATTAATCAAAGCTAAATTTTATTATATGAAATTCAATTCTGATGTTGATTAATTGCTTATTGTTAATGTAATTATGAAGTGATTAAATATTTATATTTAGTTCTATAAATTTGAGTTAATTGGATATAAAATGGAGAAATTTCTAGTTAAACTCACGATTACATAATTAAAAATTATAGCTTACCATTAAATATTTTAAAAAAATTTGTTTTATATAAAAAGGATTCAATATTTTTTATCTAGGACTTCTCTACTATTTAAAAATTTTTTTAAAATAATCTCCTGTCTGGAGAAAATAAGTAAATAAAATTTCTATTGTTTTAACAATTTTTATGCTATTTATATTACTAATTACAAATACTTCAGCTAGGAAATTTTAAAGTTATTTGAATACACAGGGTATTCGACTGTCCCATTTTAAATTTTTAACATAATTTATTAGGACTAGAAGGAGCGTATGCCTATGTTAGTCTACGTGATCTTTAGGTTAAATTTCGGAGATATAGTGGAAAATGTAACTTTTTTAATAGTGGAAACCTCTTACTTCCGAGTTTACCATGCTAAAGTATACGAGTATAAAAAAATAATGCTAAAAAATATGCCTTGATGTGTTTCACGCACTTTTAGCGATACTATTTTATAATGTACCGCCAGCTATTTACACTATATAATAAAGGTTGTGCAATTGTATTTAGGCTACATCTTTTTATGAGAATGTTGTTTGCATGAGTTTATACGACCTACAATGAGTTTATACGACCTACAATTCTTCCATATTTTTTAAGTAAATTCATCATTATTCGAATGTGTTTCTTATAATGCGAAGTTTATTTACAATGTTTTTACAAAAAACAGTACAATCTTTCCATTTCCTCAAGACAAAATCTTACCCTTTGCCGGATAGTTTCAAAAGTTGGAAACAGAACATGTTGAGGAATGTTTCTATAAGTATTATTAATTCGCTATTTCGTATTCTGTGTTTGCTGTTAGTCGTTCGCCGTACACTGCATATCTGATGTAACGAGAAGGAAGAAATCGAATGGTGTTAGATCAGGAAATCTCTCAGGCCACGAAACAGGACCTCCTCGATTAATCCAACGATTTGGAAAGATTCGGTGAAAGTGAAATCTAGAAAAAAAAATGCAATGGGTCGTGCATGCCGATACCACATTACTCCTAATATTTAATTTGACATTTTCTAGCATTAGCTGATAATTCACTTTTCAAAGATTCCAGATATCCACGACCCATCAAAGTGCTTAGAAAAAAAAAGTAGGGAACAATGAGTCGTTCATTCGTATTGCCGTTTCTAAACGTTAATATTCCAAAAATGCTTTGGTTGGAAACAATTGGATTGTGCAATTGTTGCTATATTCACTGAGAAAATGCAACTCTACTACGCTCGTTCTCTTCATATAATGCTTGGACTAGCATGCTGTGATACGGATGGTATTAAATGAGTTGATCTCAAAATCCAATGCGCGGCCGATCTAGGTATTTCCAAATCATGTTCTGTTTATCGAAGACTAATTTTCGGATCATTGTGTATCGTCATCAAGACTTCTATTGAACCATTGTTATTATGTAGTTATGATGCATCAATGCATTTTGCGACTTTCTCGAACAGTAATCCTTATCGAGCTCTTCGTTACAGTCGAACAATTGATGAAATGTTTGGATGTCTTTTGTATGGAAAACGACATCGATAAGTAGAAGCTACTCTTCTGTAATTAATTACGTTGACATTCTCCAAGTACTAATAGAATATCAACGAATTTCGTTTGCAGAATAATTAGACATTATTGCAACGTGAAATGACACGAAGATCAGTAAAGACTAATGATTCAATTCAGACGAACAAGTAGAGAGAGATCAAAACAAGGTATTTCGCGTTAACGTCTCAAGTTTAGAGCCAGGAGGAACAAAAGAGCGAACTGTTTTGTAAATGTAATTGAAGCAAATTAATTATTTGTGTTTGTCTACATACACAACAAATCAAAGACGTAAACAGGATTGTGGAACAACCATTCAGTACCGTCTAAGCATAGATAATGCTGGCTGTACAGTACATTACAAATAGTGACGATAATAGTGAAACAAATCAACATGGCATTTAATTTTAAGCATTGATTTGTGTGCGCGTGTGCGAGTGAGCCTTAACATGGTAGGAGAGATTTCCCTTAAAAAACTATATTTTCCTCTATATGTATCTTCAAAACTTTGACCTGTATGTGATCTTGATTAACAGTCACATTTTTCCTTCTCCTACTTGTGTACAGGTGTTATGTTTTTTGGTATCGTTTAGTTTTCTAGATATATAATAGTTTCGTTTAAAATGGGACACTATGAATAATTTGTAAATTCTCATGATTTTATCCCTAAATCCTTGATCTACAATAATTTTGTTAATGAAGATTTAAATTTAACATTTTAGAAATAAATAATCCTACTTTATAACAATCGTATCCTTTAAATATTCATTAAATTACTCCCAAATTCGTGTTTAGCGTACAACACAAGGTTCAATTTGATTTAATGATGTTTTATTAATAATAATCTCTTGTAGAATTATTTTTAGTTTAAAATAAAAATGCTCTGAAGTATTTTAATATAAATTCTATATATAACAATAAATAATATTTACTAAAATAAACACAATTTATTAATAAATTTTAAAAAATATTAAATTTAAAAATAAATTCTCTATTAATTTCTGAAGTGATTTCAAATGATTAAAATAATACTTTAAACAATAAAAATATTTTTTAACATATATTTTTAACAACAAAAAAATGTATTTACTTATTAGAAACCGATGCAAATTAATCTTCTCATTATTTTAAAACTATTATTATTTTTTAAAAATATTTTTAATAGTCGTATAATAAAGAACAAAAGATGAAGATACATTTAATGGTTCAACCATGAAGAGATTTATAAGATTGATGTCAAGATATCCTTTGAAGTATAAGAGATTAAAAGAGAATGGATGTACTTCGCATGTTTGGATTAAATAATTAAAGAATGAAATAAGAAGCTTATCTTAAGTACTGTAAGAGAATTTTGTCTTACCAGAGATTTTATTTATGATTATATCATAACGTCGATTTTACTCTCAAACTATTCTGAGACGGTAGATAGTTAATATATAGACGTAATGATTATTTTAATACTTGAATAAAGTAGTAAATGTCTGAATATTAGTTTTATTATAAATCTATTTTTGATGATTTATGAGTTTTATTTGATAGCTTAATCGAACTAGAAGATGCTAGAGAAAGAGATGTGTAAACAAGTAACCTTTATATAGCTACTAACTTTGGAAAGTATTATCTTATATTCAGATTTAACAGTGTTTATGTAAAATTTCCATTATTATTCTTATAATTTGGCGGATTTAATCGTAATAAATTCAAAATAACTATAAATAATCTATTAGTAAACATAATAAACATTCTTTCAGCAGGCTTTTTCAACTCTGCAACGACTACATAGGTTTATAATTTTATATTAAGTATTTAATATCTAAAATATATTAATTTAAATATTTTCTCTTAGATATTAGATAAAGAAACATTAAAAAAATACCTTCCTACAGGTATGCGTATTTTAATTTTTAGAAATATTTTCATAAGCATTTAAATTAATAACGCTATTCAGATAATTAAATAAAATCTATAATAAGTAAATTTAGATTTAATTTTGATGTTTACTTACAAAAAAATTAATTTATCGAATTAACTTATCACGCAACAAGTCTTTAAAAAATAAATATATGAATTATTTATTCATTCAATGTTTAATTTATAAAAATTTCTGTTAATTCAAACACAAATTTAAACAGGCCTATATATTTTTAAATACAACTTCCAACTTTATTTGGACAATCAGGCATTACTCCTTCATCCACGATTGCTAACATTTAATTAAAAACGTGCAAAAATTATAGTGACGTCTTCACGATGCCAAGCTGCTGTTTTTAATCATATTTTTTAACTTATTTAATTTAAAATATAGCTTATGCGCTCGATCTCAAATTATTGTCTTGCCCCTGTAAATCATACTTTTCCCGATAACAACAGGAAAAGTAACTCCATTCTGGGAAAAATTTTTGAATTGAAATCACATTTTGTTTTAGATTGATAGAAAAACTACTAATTATAATAAAACTAAACGGTATCGTCAAATTCTAACATTAAATAAAGACCGAGACTCGTAAAAACAATAAGTTTTTAAATGATCTAATCAGAATTTAAATCCACGAGCATCTTTTCCAAATACTAAGTGATTATAACAAACTAATTACGGGATATCGGGATTTTTAAATAATTTTATGACAAATTTAAAGAGAGACGATCTAATCTATAATTTAAGAAAGAATGAGAAGATTAACTCCAACATAACAGCGTAGACTGAAACGGAACGATCTAATTTAAATAAGAAACTGATAAAGATCAACTATTTAAATTCGTATGATAACATTAAATTTATTAATATAATTATTTTTAAAATTTACTTTTACAATTATAATTAAAAATATATTGTTATTATTATTATTATTATTATTATTATTATTATTGAAATGAAAGAATTGACAGTTGATGAAGATATTGAAAACCCACAACTTAGTAATTATGACGAAGATATTTATAAATATCTGAGACAATTGGAGATTCAATATACTATCAGAGTAAATTATTTGAATAAACAAACGGAAATTACAGGAGAAGAGAGAGATGCTTTGATTGAATGGTTGGTTGAAGTCTATCTAGAACTTCATCTTGAAGAAACTTTATATCGTACCGTAGTAATTATTGACAGATTTCTTCAGGAATTTAAAGGTTGAATAAATTTCAAGTACCATGTTCATTTGCATCGAAATATGGAGGAGGACGGCCAGTACGACTAAGTCTTATAGAAGACATTACAAATAACATCTGTACAAAAGATGATAATAATTTCCATGTCTAAAATGTTATTATTATTATTATAATTAACATTATCTTACTTAAAAATAATAGAAGAAATTATAATTGAGAAATATTAATTTTAACAAAGTTTAATTAATACCGTAGGCTATTGTAAAATTCAGAAAATATCTGAGAAGTTTTTAAAAATTATGGAAAAATTTTAAAAACAAACATTCATAATTAATTTTCATCATAGATTTACCCATTACCAGTCGACCCCCCTATAACACTGTTGATTTTCCCGTTCTATATGAATTCCATGTTGTACGAGTCACTTAGATTTTACAAATACGTGTGCCGGGCTGTGAACAGTTCACGTATTTGTAAAATCTAAGTGACTCATACAACATGGAATTCATATAGAACGGAATAATCAACAGTGTTATAGGGGGGTCGACTTGTATTATATATCTTATTTAGAAAAATAATAAGGTTTTTCTAAATAAAAATACACTAAAACATGCTCTGAAAGATGCTAAAACATGGCGTAAATTTATAAAATTTTATATTAAATTAATATAAAAATATTAATTTAAACGTTATAAATGTGTAAATTAATTCAAAAG